AGATGTGTTGTTGTTGATGTTGATGATGATGTGTTGTTGTTGATGATGATGATGATGACGAAGATGATTATGACGTCATTAATTGCAATTCCAAAAACCTCGAATCGATGCCTACGTTTTTCCGATCGATTTGACAAGTGCAATAAAATGGGAAACTACATTTACCTAACAATCACTTAACATTTAACTTGATTCATTTTTTGTACCTCTCTCTCTCTCTCTCTCTCTCTCTCTCTCTCTCTCTCTCTCTTTCTCTCTCTCTTTCTCTATCTATCTCTATCTCTCTCTTACTCTCTCTTTTCCTTCCTTTCTTACATGCTTTCTTTTCTCTCTCTCTCTCTCTCTCTCTCTCTCTCTCTCTCTCTCTCTCTCTCTTCCTTCATTTAACAAAAAGAGTAATGTGCTGTTATAAACAACGATAAAGATATTGAAATTCTAGTAGGCGATTTGCCAAAAAATAAGCTAATGGGTTGAGGATTGGCAGACGGTATTCAACACTAACAAATATGCAGTCATACACACGGCAGCGAACAACAAGGCAAGCGTATTCACACTTGGAGACACACCACTAAAAAAGCAGTAAAAAGCAGAAATATGATCGTCGTATTCAACCTTTATAAAGCATTTGTTCGACCTAAGTTGGAGTATTGTCTCTAGCTTTGAAATTCAGATTTACAAGAGAACAGACATATGCTCGAGAATATTCAAAGGAGGGCAACGAGAATGATGAAGGAGTGTCGCGGTATGCCATATGAAGACAGATTAAAAGCCTGTTGATTGACAACATTAGCTGAACAAGAGGAGGTTTGATTCAGGCAGCATACAAAATCATCACTATAAAAAAGAATTTGGAGTCAGCGAAATTTTTTGAGCTTAAGATGAACTGTAAAACAATGGGGCATAGATATAAGATCTTAAAAAAAGCTCAGGATTGATGAAGCAAAAATTTTTCAGCTGCAGAGTTGTCAACGAGTGAAATAAACTGGGAGATGAAATCATATGCGCAGAAACAACTAATAACGTTTAAAGCAAACTTGGCAAAAGTAGTATATTAAAAAAAAGTCTCAGAGTGGTCCTTGTCACAGACTATGTCTTCTTGGATCAATATAAAAAATCCTTGTAATATTATAATATTATGTTACGTTACGTTACGTTATGTTATATAATGTTAAAACTGTCCGTTTGCAGTCGAACCAAGTACCAACCGCATAGTTTCTAGCGCCCTAGCCTTTACATCATCAAGATATTCTAAAAATCGTAAAACGATATGTGTTAATCACAATTTGTTGAATCACGTAAGGTAAAAGTTGGCCGGGATATCTTTGCAATCGAACCTGGTCACTCCATCATAAGTCCTTAATAATATAAGTTTTTATTTCGCTTGTCCAGAGACTAAATAATGATGAAGAAACTTTTTAGTATAATCTTTAAAACAAATTGTGTTCATATTTTTGAAATGATTATACAGTGATGTAGGGATTTTATATTTTGCTTGTTCGTTGAAAATTATTAATCCAATACGAAAATCATTATTATTTTAGCTCAAATTTTAAAACAAATCTATTAATTGAAAAACTTATAAAGCAATTTGTGTTCAAATTGCCAATTTCATATTAGGACTAATTATTAATATCATTAATATTCACAGTAGAATATAATTTTCATATCAAAATTCACTTTTAAACACTTCAATCAGTGCTTGTCTTGTTTACATGGCAGCAAATTTTGTCAATTCGTTGATTTAAAAACTAAAAAAATGAAAATAGTATTACAATTATTGGTATTTTTCTTGCTCTATACCCCCAAAAAGGCCTATAATTGAATGCATTTTCACTTTATTTGTTCATTCAATCATTCATTAATCAGTATTTTCACTGATCGGTTGAGTTGAGAGAATGAAATTATAATTATTAATTAATCGCGTAATTTTTTAAATATTTTATTTTATAATATAATAAAATATAAATTAGACGGTATATATAATATAAAATATTTAAAATATATATATATATTTATAACATGTGTAATGCAGATGAGAAAAGAAGTGATCATTTGTTTACAAGGCTTACAAGCACACACACATCAACAATAATGGTGATAAATGAATGATTTAATCTTTAATGAATAAAATAAAATGGAAAATCAACAATAAAATAGTAAAGATAGTGAGAAATATCAAAGAAATTAGTTTTCTGTGACGTAATATGAATTCTTTCAGAATAATTTTTCTAACTTTCGTGACTAAACCGAAGAAAATAGACTGGGACTGTACAAAAGTGAACATCTCTATCGGTCTATATGTAGAATTTTCAAATTATAAAAAGCTGATCTAATTGGCTGACCGTTGTCGAATCAGTCGAAAGCAATTTAACTACATATCCGCCATCTATCTATCTATCAATCAAAAAAAAATATAATATTTATTATTATTAATATTAAAATAAACCACACGCGTAGTTTTATTAATAAATCAACAATGGATTGTGCCAATGTTAAAGCCATAGTCAGGTGCGTATATGTGTATACATGTGTGTGTGTGCACGTGATTTTATAATTAAATTTAGAAATGATAATCAATATAGAAACCATAGATGGCCAGAATTAATAATCTCAATAATACAGAATTTAAATTTTATCAAAATTAGAGTAAGGCCTCAATCGACCAATGAGAAGCTAGATTACTGTGACACGTGCACAAAGGTCAACCAATCAGCCAAACAGATAACGCTGGGGTCCGAACGTAGATTCACTTTTGATTACGTTTGTGACGTTGGTAGCGATCAGGGATTAGTGTATGACGTCTGCTGCAAGAGTTTGATTGACGGGTGGGTGGGTTCTTTTTATTATTGCTATTAATATTAGTAGTAGTAGTTGTAGAAGTAGTAGTAGTAGTAGCGGCAGTGGTAGCGGTAGTAGTAGTAGTACTACTACTAGTAGTAGTAGTTGTTGTAGTATTAGAAGTTGTTGTAGTATTAGTAGTAGTAGCAGTAGTAATGGTAGAAGTAGTAGCAGTAGTGATCGAAATTACGATGATGAATATAAAGTCAGAAAATTTACTCCCTAAAAGGTTATTTGAGGGTTACAACGCTTCACTGATAGCTTACGGACAGGTTATTATTAAATAAAACTATTTTAATGTAATAATCCGTTCATTCACTCATTCATTCGTTCATTCTTTTATTCATTCAATCAATCTGTCATTCATTCAATCAATCTGTCATTCATTCAATCAATCATTCATTCTTTCAATAATTCATTGTGTGTTTGGGTTTGAATGTAGAGAGATTTTATAAAGAGATCGGATATTTCAGGCAATGTATGTGAGGCCTGGGAATTAATGGTTTTTATTAATTATTTATTTATTTTATTATTCATTTATGATAATTTTTTTCAAAACATCGTCAAGACTGGCTCTGGGAAAACGTACACAATGGGAACGAGTTTTGATCTAAATATAGAACCGGAAAAGGTTGGCATAATCCCGAGAGCCGTCGACCAATTATATTCCAGTATTCAAAATCAAATAAAAATGGCGGACGGAAGTGTGTTTCCCGCGCCGGAGTTTGACATTCAGGCTCAGTTTATGGAGGTTTGATGATGATGATTATGATGATGATGAAAAATGACGGTGATGATGATGATGATGATACTATTGATGATGATGACACAGTTATACAATGAAGAAGTTTTCGATCTATTGAGCCCTTCATCAATGGATAAGGTGGTTTGTTTGTTCGTTCGTTCGTTTGTTCATTTATTTGTTTGTTCGTTTGTTTGTTTATTTATTCATTTGTTTGTCTGTTTGTTTGTTCATTTAATCATTTGTTTGTCCGTTCGTTCGTTTGTTCATTGTCTTTTCATTTTTTTGTAAGCAATTAATTGTTTGTCTGTTCTTTTCTTTTCTGCTCGTCCTATCTTCTATCTATCTATTTATCCGTCTATCCTTTTATTCATTCATCATTCATTCAATCATTCTTTTGTTCATTCATTCATTCATTCATTTTTTCATTCATTTCATTCATCCATTCATTCATTCATCCATTCATTCACTAGACTAAAAAATCTGGAATTCGTATTCACGAAGACGGTGAGGGCAACATACAGGTCACGGGACTGACCAGCCAGCCAATCAACTCCGTCGAAGACGTACGCGTCTTGATGATGATCGTGATGATGATGATAATGATGATGGTGGTGATGATGATGATGATGAGGATGGTGGTGGTGATGATGATGAGGATGGTGGTGGTGATGATGATGACGATGGTGGTGATGATGATAACGATGGTGGTGATGATGACGATGAGGATGGTGATGATGATGATGATGATGTAAGAGAACGCTAGTACACATTTTTCCATATATACAATCAACAGTTTCAGAGTGTATGCATTTTTTTATGTTTAGACCAGACCGCGTTCGAACCTTATGACTGCGCCATAACGACGATTTTTGCGGCACTCTTGCCATCTGAGCTAACTTAACGGCCATAGAGAAAAAATGATCATAATTTTTGTTTTTATATTTCTGCCATTTAATCGGCAGACTTTTTAATTCAAATTGGAAGCCAGGTTCTTTAAAATAGGCTTACAATAAGTTATATTATTAAAATATAAATGAAATAATTAAAAAGATAATTATCATTATATTATTAATGATAAATATATTAATGTCATTATAATATATTAAATATTTCAAAATTTAAAGTAAAAAACTTAAACAAATTAGGCCATCAGGTGCCTTAAAATAGGCACCCTATCCCGAAGTACAGCCAGTACGAACATGAACTTGACCTCCTCAAGGTCACACGCTATTTTTAGCATCACCTTGACCCAGAAACGTTATGTCAAGGTCGAATAATTAATATTTTTTTTTATTGTTTTTTTAAGGTTTTTATTTTATTTGTTTTTCATTCCGGTTTATGTGGTAGCATGATTGAGATGATGATGATGACGATGATGATGATGATGATGACGTCAGTTACAATGATGATGACGATAGTGATGATGAGGATGATCTCATTATACAGAGAGAAACAACAGAAACATCTGACAACAACAATAATAACAATAATAATAATAATGACGACAACAACAACAACGACAATAATGGCAACAACAATAAAAACAACAACGGAAATGACGTCATCGTGATCACGGAATTCCTGAGGGCTAAATTTAACTTTGTCGATCTGGCTGGTTCGGAGCGACTGAAGAGAACAGGAGCCACTGGTGAAAGAGCAAAGGAGGGAATATCCATCAACTGTGGACTAGTTATAAAAACAATTATACTTATTAATAATTATTATTATTTTTTGTATTATTGCTAACGGTTGTCATCGTAATTGTCATCACCATTATTACAATCACAATCAGCACCTCCCTCGTCAACATCATCGTCATCATCTCAACAGTTGTCACTTGGAAACGTCATTTCCGCTTTGGGTGACGTCACAAAGTTTGGATGTCACGTGCCCTACAGAGATTCCAAGCTGACCAGAATCTTGCAAGATTCCCTCGGCGGAAATAGGTCAAATAAATTTCACAACGGCTCTGACCTAGTTTTATTTAACTTTTATTTATTCGACAAAATTTTACAAAACCAAATTTTGGAGTTAGAGTATGTTCTTTATAATCTGTGAAGAAGTAATATTTCTTAATTCATTTTCTCATCAATCAATCACCAATTCATCCCTTCACTCATTCATCCCTTCATTCACTCATTCATCTCTTTATTCACTCATTCATCCCTTCATTCACTCATTCATATCTTCATTCATTCCTTCACTCATTCCTTCATTCATTCGCAGCCGCACGGTATTGATTGCTTGCATCTCGCCATCTGATCGCGACTTCGTCGAGACCCTCAACACCCTCAGCTACGCCAACAGGGCCCGAAACATCCGCAACAAACTGTCGGCCAATAAGGATCTTCGCACTTCGTCACAAGATGGCGACCGGAAGTTGATCGAGGCTTTGAAAGCGGAAGTGGAAGAGCTGAAGAAGAAGTTAAGAGAGGTGATGATTATGAAAAACTGATGGTTACATGGATTTTTTTTATTCAAAATTTAAACATCTTCAAATCAGGTTACAGAGGGCGGGCAATCAAATGACGTCATTTGTGAGAATCAAATGCTATTAGCTGAGAACAGAAATCTTAGAGACAAAATCAAAGTTACTAGCCAATCAAATTTTTTCGTACAAAATCATTTGAATAATTCATACATTCATTCATTCTTTCATTCATACTTTCATATGTTCATTCAGCAATTAATTCATTTATACATTCATTCAGTCATTCATTCATTCATTCGTTCGTTCGTTTATTCAACACAAGGCCCTATCAAGCACAATGGATGAAGTAACAAGCTCGAATGTTCAACTGAAAACACTCGTAGACGTTAATGGTATTCATTCGTTTATTCATTTGTTCATTCATTCGTTCATTCATTCATTCACTCGTATATTCATCCATTTATTCATTCACTCGTACATTCATCCATTCATTCATTCATTCATTCACAGCAATTCAGCAGGGCGGTAACGTTGAAGAATGCATCAAGAAGTATGTCGCGGAAATCGAAAGGTTGAAGTTAGTGACGAAGACATCACCATCATCATTATTATATTATTTTATTATTATTATTATTTTATTATTATTATTATTTTATTATTATTTTATTATTATTTTATTATTATTATTATAATTTATTATTATTATTATTTTATTATTCTTTTATTATTACTATTATTTTTATTCATCCCCCAGAGTCAGGCTTTCGTTGGCTGAGAGGAATTTTGAAATTTCGACGGCTAGATCATCATCAGCACGACCGCCATCATCGTCATCATCATCATTTCTATCATCATCATTATCATTTAATAAGAATAATAATAAAAATAATATTAATAATAATAATAACATGGCGATTTGTATGTCAAGGTCGCTGTTTTCAAGGCCGGGCGATGTCGGTGACCTATTTAACGATGAAAGGTCATGATGACGTTTAATATTATTATTATTATTATTGCTGTTGTTATTATTATTAATGTTGTTGTTGTTGTTGTTGATATTGTTATTATTGTTGTTATTATTGTTGTTGTTGTTATTATTATTATTGTTGTTGTTATTATTATTATCACCATCATCATTATCAGATCTAATGAAATTTTGGAGCAGGCCAAGTTAAATATAGCCAATCTGTCCAAACTGAAGTATGATGATGATGATGATGATGGTGATGATGATGATAATGATGATGATGATGATGGTGATGGATATGATGATAGTGATGATGGTGGCGGTGGTGGTTATGATTATGATGATAGCATGCTACAGGCAGTGTTACTGTTATCATCATCCCAGCCTACTCACCCTTGTCTGTGAAAAAATATTGTTTGAAATCGGAATATAAATCTAGTTTTATCTTCATCATCATCGCCATATCATCATCATCATCACCACCATCATCATCATCATCATCGTCATCATCATCATCATCACCACCATCATCGTCATCACCATCATCATCATCATCATTCCCAGGGATGAGAAAGAATCTTTACTAACGAAGATACAAGACCATAGTGATGATGCCAAAAATAATACCACCATTAACGATGATGATGATGATGATGATGACGACGGTGGTGATGATGATGATGATGATGATATGTCAGATGATGATGATGATGGGGACAGTGATGATGATGATGATAATGGTGGTGGGGATGGTGACGTTCAAGACGAGTTAAGCGGTTAGTAGATAAAAATCTTTATGATAATATTTTTGGCAATCATTTCTCAATTGCTTAACCAATCAACCAACTAATCAATCAACTAACCAATCAATTAATCAATCAGCCAATCAATCTTTCATTTATTTATTCATTCAATCAATCCTTCCCCTATCAATCAAACAATCAATCAATCAATTAAACAATCCAGTTACCACAGCCCTCGCGGACATAACAAACGAAATTAACATCAAGCAAAGACTCATCGACGAGTTAATTGAGAGCCGGAAACGGATGAGTTTTCTCCGGAAACAGTACGAAGAAAAGATCATAAATATGCAGGAAGTTATTAAAGCAACCGAAGCGGAAAGAGATCGAGTTTTTAAAGATGCCGGTTGGTTTGTTCATTCGTTTATTAGTTTAGCTTTAAATCAATCAATCATTTATTCATTCATTTAATCATTCAATTGATCATTCACTGCCATCATAATCATAACCTTCCTCACAATCATCATCATTACCAGCCGAGAAAAAAGGATCAAAAGAAGAAATCAAAAAATTGAAGAAAGAGTATGAGGATAGACTGAACGAACTTCGGAAAAAATTGAATAAATTAAATTCTGAAAAAAAAGAGCATAATAAGGTGAATAAAAATTTTGTCGGTAGGGGCACTTCCCGTTCCGGTAATGATGGTGATGATGCTAGTGGCGGAAAATATTTGAACGAGTTGCAAAAACAATTAATCGAGTTGAAGAGAACGAAGGTGAGTGAGTGATTGGATGGATGAATGGATCATCATCGTCGTCATCGTCATCACTCCCCACAAACAAACCACCCCAAAACACACCACAACAAACTACCCCTACAAACAAACCGCCCCCAAAGATTCGGCTAATGAAGCAGCTCCAGGATGAAAGCGCGCGAAGCAAGAAACTCGAGCTAGAAATGAAAAAGAAGCTGACGGCCGTCCAGAAACTTCAGCGCAAGCAGCAGGTGGCGCTGAAGAAAACGGAAATGGAAAACTCACGGAAAGGCGTTGTCCTGAAGAGGAAAATCGAAGAGGTGACTGACGCCCCGATCCATTATTATCATCACCATCAATGCCTGAATCACAATCTTCATGACTATCTTATCATATATCTTATCATCGCTGTGCTTAATTTGATTTTAAATGAAGGACAGTGATGACTAACTGTGATGACTGTGATTTCGTTTTAATCATGACTATTTCTATAATAATTAATTAATTAATTAATTAACTAATTAATTATTGATTTTACGCATTTGGTGAAAAATAAAAGGTCTGTTCCTATAATTATTGATGCAGTTGGAAGCCATGAAGAAGAGAGAGAAGATGCTGACGAACAAAAAGCTGCTAGTCAAAAAAAGTGATGATGATGGTGGCGATGATGATGAAGGCGATGATGATGAAGGCGATGATGATGAAGATGATTATTATTATTGTTGTTGTTGTATTTGCTGCTGCTGTTGTTGTCGTTGTTGTTGTTGTCGTTGTTGTTGTCGTTGTTGTGGTTGTTGTTGTTGTGGTTGTTGTTGTGGTTGTTGTTGTGGTTGTTGTTGCTGTTGTTGTTGTGGTTGTGTTGTTGTTTTTGTTGTTGTGACGTCATAATAGATTACGTTCAATGATCCTTTTCTCCCAGTGGCCGGCGGTAGTAACAGAGTGGGAAGCCTAGCCTGGGACAAGTTTGAAAAAATGGTTAGACGACGACGATGATGGTGGTGGTGGTGGTGGTGGTGGTGATGGTGGTGGCGATTGTAGCGGCGATGATGGTGGTTACGAAGATGGTAAAGATGATGATGATGATGATGGTGATAATAATTATTATATTACGATCATTCTTACGACCAATTTCAACATCATCGTCATCATCATCATCACCACCATCGTCATCATCATCATCACCACCATCGTCATCATCATCATCACCACCATCGTCATCATCATCATCAC